TTTTTTTTTTTTTTTTTTTTTTTTTTTTTTTTTTTTTTTTTTTTTTTTTTCCTTTGAGCTCCCAAATCCAATCCTCTTCAACCCAAGGCTAGGCTCCGACTGCTCCGCTACCCCTTCCTCCCTTTCCTTCCCTACACCGCCTCATAATAATTGATATTCATGACTATTAATATTACACGACTACTTTAAAGGGAGAATGCAGGACCAAATGGAGCGTGAAGCTGGCAGCCAGCTCGAGAGCTCCCCTACTATTGTAAATGACGTTCATTCAGTGGAGAATTACTAGATGTAATCAGACGAGGGGGGCTGGCAGAGGCAGAGTTTGGGGGAGAGGGAGAGGGGGGGAAAAAGTTTAGCAAGGAAGAGGCAGAACTTCAATTAAGGCGAGCGGAGGAAGAGGAGGAAAAGGAGAGACACTGCTGAGCTGGAGCAAGGAAGTGAGATGAAGCAGTGCTAGAGGCGAAGAAGAAGAAGAAAAAAAAACATATTTCCTTTTTTTTTTTTTAACATTTAATTATACATTCCTAATACGAGGAATTGATTGCCTTTGGTGCTTTTGTTCTTGCAGGTTTTTTTTTTTTTCCCTTTTAACAAATAACGAGGAAAAAAAGGCTTTTCTAATCCTTTTTTTTTTTTTTTTTAAAGAAATGGAAGAAGAAATGTGCAGTCACTACAATATACGGCTGTTTACAGCGGAGACGAAGCCCTTCTGGTGCGTGTTACAGACAGTATTTATTCGCAACAGCCAAATAAATACTTGAATCCGCGTTAAGTGGGGCTCCACTTTTGGGTTTTTTTTTTTTTTTCTGAATCCTGTTCCTCCCGCCCGATATGAAAAAAAAAAAAAAAAGAAAAGTACGTATATATCCCGATTTTCACCCAAATGGTAAAATGTATGCCGTGAATTCTGAAGGGTAGTAAATTTATAGTTTCGAGGCAAAGCCAGGGGCGATATAAAACCTTTTTGATGTTGCAGGAACCCGTTCAACTGGACTGTCTGCCATTTCTGTTAAAGTTCAACTTACGTTCCTTCCTAAATAGACTCACACTTCCCAGAGCAGCTCCCCCCCCCACCTCCCTCTCAGGGTGTCCCTTGCCCTCAGCCAAATTTCCACCCAACCGCTCCCCCCCAAATTCCTCTTCTCTCCCACGGCGATCTGGAAACACGAGTGGATCCCTGACACGCAGAGGGGCTTAAAAATCCCTTTCGAAAGGAGGGTGGAAAATAAAAAAAATAAAATAAAATAACAAGCTGGCCAAGGAGGGGAGATGTTTTGTCGCCTGGTGCTGCGGGGAGAGACAATGGCCGGGGCTGTGCCTGGGGACGGGGAGGGAAAAGCAACGAGGGCTTCAGCGGGTTGGGGAATCGCCGGCGGGACACACACACACACACACACACACACACGTCGGGCTGTGCTCATTCTGCATATGGTTTGCCAGTTGATAATTAGCTTGACGGCAGCTTTTGGGGAGAGGAGCCGTCTCTCCCGTGCGGATGGTGGATGCTCTCCCCTGCTTCCCTCCATCAACCCCTCCGCTCTCCGGCCGGGAAAACACAGAGCTCTGCCCTCCCTCTGCACATTTCTACGCTTTTTTAAAATTGTTTTTGTTAATTTTTTTTCTCCCTGGGAGTTTCCCCGCTGTAAGTGCGATCGCGCATCCCGGAGGGGAGGACCGCGGGCGGCCCCGACGGCGCTTTCTCGGGGTGTTCTACCTACCCCTGCCCGGTTCCCGGCTCCTGCACATCCCCTGCCCGTTCCCCATCCCCTCCTCGGTCCCCATCCCCTCCCCGATCCCCATCCCCTCCCCGGTCGGGCTGTGCTCATTCTGCATATGGTTTGCCAGTTGATAATTAGCTTGACGGCAGCTTTTGGGGAGAGGAGCCGTCTCTCCCGTGCGGATGGTGGATGCTCTCCCCTGCTTCCCTCCATCATCCCTTCCGTTCTCCGGCCGGGAAAAGAGGGAGCTTTGCCCTCCCTCTGCACATTTCTACGCTTTTTTTTAAATTATTTTTGTTAATTTTTTCCTCCCTGGGAGTTTCCCCGCTGTAAGTGCGATCGCGCATCCCGGAGGGGAGGACCGCGGGCGGCCCCGACGGCGCTTTCTCGGGGTGTTCTACCTACCCCTGCCCGGTTCCCGGCTCCTGCACACCCCCTGCCCGTTCCCCATCCCCTCCTCGGTCCCCATCCCCTCCCCGATCCCCATCCCCTCCCCGGTCCCGATTCCCTCCCCGGGTACCCATCCCCTGCCCGCGATCCATCCCCATCCCGGTACACACTCCCTGCCATCCCCATCCCCTGCCCTGTATCCAGCCTTTTCCCGGTATCCAGCCTCTTCCCGGTACCCAGCCCCTTCCCGGTGTCCATCCCGGCCCCATATCCAGCCCCTGCCCGACCGTCTCCCCACGGGAACAACCCCCGTTTTGGATGGAGCTGATTAAACCCTTCTAAAAATTTCCCCCCCAGCTCTCCCCCGCCCTGCGATCGCAGTGAAAATGCCTCCCCCAAATTTATAATAATAAAAAAAAAAATTTAAAAAAGGAAAATATCATTTCGTAGAGAGCCTTTCCTTACACATCTTTTTCTTTTTTTGGTATTTTTTCCCCTGTTTCGGAGCAAATCTGCTGGTTAACTTACAAGAAACGCATTCGCGGAGCCCTTTTGGGAAAGATCCGGGTCAGGAAACCGAGCAAAATTAAGAAAGGTTTCGCGGTGTTTGCGCCGTGATTTTTTTTTTCCCCACCCCTGCTCTGCTTTTTGACCTCGAAAATAACGCGGAGGGCTGAATAAAGCGCGGAACTTTCCGTGTCCGCGGACTGCGCGGAGCTGCCTTTGAATGTATCTATTCGGGTGCGTTGTGCTCCCATACGTGCAAGAATGTATGCGCCGCTTAATTAACGCGAGTATATACGCTCACATCTTATCTACTGCTCTATAGGTAGAAAGAGTCGTAAAAAACGCGCCCGATTGCGAAAACAAGAAAAAAAAGAAAAAAAAATTCCATAATTCAGTTTGAGCTTAGCTTGGAATCGCAAAATAAAAATTGAAAGAAAGAAAAGAAAGAAATCTATCCAGTCCCTGAATACCAGATTGTGCGTCTCTTCTATTTTCAGCTTTTTTTTTTTTTTTCTCGACATTTGTCCATATTTAATCGAATTATATTTAATTTGAGGTCTAAACAATCAAACTCTTGCCTATAAGTTGCCTCCTTCCAACCCCCGGATCATTTCTTTGATGTTTTAAATCGCATCAAACAGCTTTTCCACGAAAAAAAAAAAAAAAAAGAGAAAAAAAAAAGTTTAGGACTTGGCATGCTGAATACAAATATGCAAATAAATAAGCATTTAAGCATTTACTCTTGGTTTCCCCTATCTATACTTGTGCGTGTTGGTGTATGCGTCTCTATATCTGCCTATAGGTATATAGAGAGCTATATATGTATTCTATAGTCATGCTTATATCTATATGCTAGATGTATATTTAAATATACATATACTCTCTTCCTCATATGCATATTATATACTCACCTCATAGATATCTTCGTACTTGACATTTTCAACCAGTTTCCAGAGCATGATGGCAGGCTGTTCTCTAGGAGGTGAGTGCATTCATGTGAAGAGCAGATGTCTGGATTCTCAGTACTTCTCTGTCTGTAATGATCCATCTATAATTGGAAATGGGGGACAGACACCAAATCCGACGTTCCTCTTCCATCGCAACTTATATCTGTTGTCTGAAACAATAGGCTGCAGAAGTCTACCTCCATCCGAGAGTAAAAAACATTCTCTGGGACAGAGTTACATATATCTACAGACATATATGTGACTAGATATATACATCTATACGCATCTATAGACTTAAGACTTTTATACAGGCATATAAAGATATATAGATACACGCAGTTGCACACACAGACGTACATATACACACATATATCTCTGAATATATAACTTTTTCCCCCTGCACACGTATATAAATTGACACATTTATATATGTAAATTATACCTATTCTTGCATATGTAGGCACATGTACTCTACACGTTACACATGCATGCATACACACAAACCTGATCAATTTATATAGGAGTGTATATAAATGCATATTTGTGTATGTATTTATACGTCTGCACATATATATGTGGATATACAGTGATCAAATATACTTATTATATAGTCCATATATCTGCTAATTTAGTAGATGGATGGATAGATAGATCATAGAAAGAAAGAAAGAAGACATTAATGAATATTTTTGCGATCTTATTTATATTAAAATAAAGAATAGGTTGCCTCTGCACGAGGCGATTCATCATTTACAACGAGATATTATACTTTTCCCCCCATGCAATATGCTTTTATTTACATGGCCAGAAATTATCCTCTCAGATGCAGTAAAACACCAAACCAGCCTCTCATCAAGCACATTCAAGCAAATCTAAAAGGAGGAAATTGAGATCAATGATTTTCATTTGAAAGCCTCACACTTCAGACTTGGACCGTGTTATTTTATAACTTGGCAACACTTTCTCTGGAAAAAAAAAAAGAAAAAAAAGATAGATAAGAAAAGAAAAAGAAGAAGGAGTTTTAGCAAACCTTTCTCTGCACACATTTGAATAGCGATTAGCTACTTTCTGAAAACGATTAAAAACAAGAGTTGGATTTTGTGCGGTTCCCGGGTAGCCCTCGGTTTGGAAGGGGAGAGGAGGAGTTGGACCATTTTTAACCTTTTTTTTTTTTTTTTTTACCCCCCCCCTCCCTCCTCAGGCAAACCTTCCTTCGCATTGTCCGTTGTTTTTTTTTTTTTTGGTTTT